GCTTGTAGTTCAGTGCAGAATAAATATTAAATGAGTTATCTGTAAGACTTTTCTTGACATTTCCTGAACTTTGCTAGTGGTGTTAGTTTCCTAGGGTTGCCGTAACAAATTTCCATAACTGGATGACTTACAGCAAGAGAAATGTGTTCTCTCATAGTTCTGGAGGCAAGAAATTAAGGTGTCAGCAGAATGGTTCCTTGTAGAGACTCTGAAAGAGAACCATTTCATGGTTTGTTTTTTCCCTAGTTTCTGGTAGCTGCTGGCAATTCGTAGTATTTCTTAGCTTGTAGATGCAGCAACTGTCTCTGTCTTCTCATAATCTTGCTTTGTTTCTTCTTCTGTCCTACTGCATTCATACTCATCTAAAGACACTTTCACTGGATTAAGGACCCACCTGAATCAAGGATGATCTCATCTACAAACACCCTTTGTAGGGTGGTTACAGATTTACAGATTCTGGGTGGACATATATTTTGGGGACCATGCAATCAGTCTCTGTTAGCATTAGTGATTGACCAAACACTCAGCCTTCTGTATCATGGTAGTCTACCTTCCCAGGATGACAGCAGGTAAACGCTAGCCATGCTTGACTGTTAAGTAGTTGCTAAAGTCAACAGGGCCATGAATGAAATGCACTAGGAAAACACTCACCACCTAAATATGACAGGGAAACCATGCAAATCTGTTTTTAGGGTATTATTTTAATGCAGAGAGTATCTAAATCTTCTTTTCCATTCCTTTGGATTGAAGTGCATTAAAAAAAAACCACCATTGTTTGAGCTGGCACAAATCTCCTTTATTGTGTCCAAGTACAGTGATAATTGAGGCAGTTAGCCTGACATGTGAGATGAAGCTTCTCTTGTCTATTTATTTATTAAAATTTCCTATACAAACAATCTAGAGAATTTTAATTGTCAAATTTACTTCTATAGAAAGACTTCAAAAGTAGGTTAGTCACCTCTTAAGGGCATCGTAGTTTGCAGGCAGGTTTGGAAACAGTGCTAATCTCTACTGCACATGATCATCCCCCACCCAATTTGTAGCCCTTTTCTGTCTTACTTAGAGAGAGATGGGTTGTTGGGAAAATTGTGAAAGTTGGATTCAGATAGGATCATTAAAATCTGCTATTGTCACTACCTGCTTGACTTAAGCCAATCATTTAACCTCTCTGAGCCGCATTTTCTTTATAAAATGGAAATAACAGAATCCATCTTAATAGGTTGTTGTTGCCGTTACACACACACACACACACACACACACACACACTTTCTAGCCATTGTCCTGCATGTAGTATTTAAATTGCTAGCATTATCATTCCTTCCTTGCTGCATTAAAGCAACTTTCAGAATTTTCTAATTTCCTTCTAAATTACTAGGAAACTTACTTTCTGTTTCTTATGTGTCTTGGACTCTCTCTTCTCCCTTTTGTTGATTCCTCCATATCCACCCCTAACCCACTTTGATGTTCCTTTTCCAAACTCTATTCTCTTTCCTGCCTTAATCTCTCTTCTTTTAAGTAGTTCTCACATTCCATCTGCCACAATGTCATAAATCTGTACATCATAAAACTCTTCTTTTGCTTTTCCATTGATGTGTCAATAGGTGCTTTTTTGTTTGTTTAAATCAGTCTTTCCAAAAGTATGGAGAAATTATGTTATTTAGTATTATGGAAAAAAATTACTGAATCATGATTCCTTTGATAATTGACAACTATGTTAGGGTACCTGTTAGATGCCAGGCAGTTTCCCCAGGTACTAGGTAGATAAAAATAAATAAGACAGGGCCTCCCTGGTGGTGCAAGGGGTTAAGATGCAACCTATGAAGCTATTCACAGCCACTGCAGCACAAGTCGATCCCTGGCCAGGGAGATACCCACATGGCGCAGCAGACCTCTCCTGACTTACCCACTGCTCCCCTCAGCAGTGTATTTTGGTCTATCTGCCTGTTGTGTTCCCCACTCTGTCTCTGGTGAATCCTCTCACCTCCCCCCCGGCCTTTACCCCAGTTCTTTCATGCATAAATAACTCTTAAAAAAATAAATAAGACAGTCCACAGATATACTGAAGGACTTTTCCACTGCTTGAAACTTGTTGAGAAGAAGAGCCCATTTCTTACTGATCAAGTCCAAAAGGCCATATACTTTTTCTCATCCTCCTCCTTATCTCCACCCCACCTCCATGCAGCTAGGGAGAGCATGTGACTTAGACTTGACCACTTAAATATACCTTCCAATACTTCTGAACCATATACAGTGCTATAGCCAATTACTTCAATTAAAAAAAATAAACTGTAAAAAAGATATATACACACACACATACACACACACACACCTTTCTTGGAGTTGGTCATATAAGAGAGCTGAGATGAGGAGAACACTTTGTGGCACGGACTGCAACAATGTCCAGTGTGGAGGACCAGCACTGGCAGGAGGGCAACAGGCAGTGATATCTGGTTACCAGTACTCAGGTTTCAGTTACAAGTTATAACTCCTGCAATTCAGTGATGGCAACAGTGCCCTCTCTTGGCTAATTCCGGGGTATGATTTGGCTGTGATTGTGTCTGCATAGCCCCCTTTGCTTCTGTTCATTTTCTGAGCATCATTCTGATCCAATATCTTTCCAATAAATTCTTGTTTTCTTTTTTCTTTGCCTTTTCTGCTTAAGGTAGCCAAATTGAATTTTGCAACTAAGAATACTTTCACTGAGGCCAATTACAAAGGTTCTACCTCAAAAACGAGATTGCTAATTAACTGATCCCTGATCCAAGTAACATCTCTTCTGAGATACTCAAGTTGGAAATATTTGAGTGGGTCAATTAGAATCCAGAACAGAAGCTAAAATCACGCACCCGAGGAGTATGAGGGGTTATGGTGTAGGCTGAAATTATGAGCAAACAGAAGTTATGAATAAGCAGAAGTTATGAGTTAGCAGAAATCAAAATACATGCAGAGGAAAGGAAGAGGTGGTTGGCAGATAGCAACTAGGAACCAGACTGCAGAGTCTGTGTCCTCAAGATGGAGAGGGAATGGGTGAACCCATGAGCATCTGCCCTCCAGGGAATTCCAAGCTAACTCATTTCCTAAATGTACCTTCTGTACCAAACTGTTTTCACATTTCCAAAATGCATTTCTATGAAGCTGATTAACACTGGCTACTCATGGGTTCCTTTGAAATTCCATTTGCTCTTATTTTGCTCAGATTTTTATGTGCAGTGTTATAACAACTCCACATTAGTTCAGTAACAAAGGTAAGACTCTTCTATATGACCAGAGTCCTAAAGACTCTGGGATCCAGTAAATAACCATCAAATTGTGTATTTCATAAGTCAGTGACCTGCCTCTCCAAAGATGTCCTTTCTTTCCCTCCCTCACTTGAAATTCCCAGCAGGAGAATCTTCCTTTGGGCTGAGATAACGGTTTATAATAAACCCCTGTTTAAAATGTGCTGGAGGGAAAGAAGAGCCAGGAGTGTATCTCTCTACATTTGCCAGTAACACCTGAGCAGATCATATGAATTTATTCTTAAATTTGAAATCTTAAAGGTATGATAGTTAGAAGATGAGCTAGATTAGAACAGGAAAATTGCACTCAGAGCTGGGGAGGGTAGAGAGTGAATGATAAAGAATGGCAGCGAGAGGTACCTGGGATATTCTAAGATAGTGTCTCATAGAACATTCCCATAGAGAAGATGCTGCAGGCAGCCAGTTGAAGAATGCCTGGGAGCAGAAGGGCCAAGATGGCAGCCATGCAACAAGTTGGATACCAACACCAAACATTCTTACCTTCACATTCTGCCTTCTACCAGCTGCAGAATATGGCCTTACGTAGTTTACTGTTACCCTTAGTTGTTATAGGAGATGGGACAGGATTAACATGGCAGACACTTACCATCATAGCTGCCTATTTGAAGTTTCTGCTCAGAAATCACACCAGCATTAGCTGTGCCTGTGAGTCTTCATTTTATCTTTTGAAACATACTGTGCCCTCTCATCATTTGCAAAAATGGAAATATCTATATGTCTCACTTTGCCAGTGACTGTACACAATCTAGGGGGAAAAGTGACTCTTTTAATGACAAATGACCCAGGGAGTAATGGATTTACATATGCTGCTGTATTTGAAGGTAGAGAAGATGCATCAGAGTTTCTTTTTCAAGTCTAAAGTTATCCCTAAGAGCTTTATTTATTTTCTCAAAGTCTAAAATATACCTCAGAGTTTTATTTTCTTCTTACTGAGAATTGTGGGCAGAACTGTTCTTGGAATAGCAGTGAGTCACATCAGGGTGCAGGTAGGAGAAAAATGTTAATGCCACAGACATATCTTTTCATAGGGCACCTACCTAAGTTGTTCAGTGCTGCATTTGCTCGTCAGCCCTGTTTGTGTGGTCAAATGACTTACTGTGGGTTATAAATCAATGATGAGCAATGTGAAGAGCAGATGGGGAGTTTAATGCATCCTCCACATCTCTGTCTTGTGACTGGCTGAAGTCCATGTGCAAGTTTGAAAAGTATATTCATCATTTTAAATTGCTCTATGGGAGCTTTGCAGTTTATAATGTGCCACTTAGGTACTTCTCAAAGATAGGTTTTCCTTGACATGGTTTACAATTTCATAACAGCAAAAGGGCAACTTGGGGTATTAGGATAGAAAAACAAACTTTGAAGGAATTAGCTAGAAATTGGGAAGGCGAGTTAGGGGGAACATGGAGAAGGGGTGGGTGAAGGAGTTTGAAATATTTAGGCTGAATCTTCACTCTAATGTATAGCACTAGGAATTCCCAGTGCTTGGCATTAGCTTTGCTATCTATTTCTCAATGTAATCCTCAGGTACTATTGGGAAAATCTATTTAGGGAGGAGTCTTCAGCATGAACTAAAATATATTTACTTTATGGCAAAACAATAATAGAATAATGAATAATTATTCCAGTAGCATAATGAATAATTTAACAATTCTAGAGTTGACTACCTGTAAGAAAAAGGTTCTGAGCCAAATATATCTGGTATTTTTGCCTTATTTAAGACTTTACTCAAAGGGATCCTCATCAGAAAGTTGTGTGTAAATGGGATTGACAGTTAAGTGGCGTGTTGGTGTGCAGACACCGCCTCCCCAGACTTTCTGGTGTAAAAGAATCAGCAATCAGTAGCTGGGGAAAATATGCATCTTGAGCAAATGTGTTCTAAAGTCAAGAAAAGAAGAAAGCACAATTAGATCTTAATTCTTTCAATACAGCACATATGAACAAGGTGCAGACTAAGGAGGCATGGACTTTCACGAACCCTGCAGGGGAAGGAGAAGGAGGAACTCAGACCCAGTAGGGTTACAATTGCAGAGTGGATTTTTTTTTTTTTTTAATTTTCATATGTTAAAATGTCTTTTAGAAAAGTTAAATGAGATATTTCCATATAAAGTACATGTGATTGAAATGTTTTGGGAAATGCTACAATAAAAACAAAGCCAGTAGTAACCATGTTTTCACTTTTATTTTTTTCAATATTTATTCATGCATACAAGAACTGGGTTATAGGCCCTATGTGCGGGAGGGTGAGAGGATTCACCAGAGACAGAGCGGGGAACAGACAGGCAGACTGACTGAAATACACTGCTGAGGGGAGCAGCGGGCAAGATAGGAGAGGTCTGCCATGCCACGTGGGATTTTTGCTGGCCGACTGGGATCAAACCTCCGCTGCAGAGCCTGTGGACAGCTTTACAGTGCTACGCTCAACCTCCTGTGCCACCAGGGGAGGCCCTGTTTTCACTTCTTGCCTTGATATGCAAGGCAGAGAGATAGAGAAAATCCTCTGAATAGTGCCTTGCAGTCTATACTACGTTCAAGCAGTGAACACATATTTATCGAGCACCTCCCAAGAGCCAGGAACTTGTACATGGACATGATTAGGATTGAGCAGGAGTAGACTTGGCCTTCATGAAGATGTCTGAGAAACCTTTTAGAAAGGTTTTCAAAGGGCTTCCCTGGTGGCGCAGCGGTTGAGCGCTGGGTTGCAAAGCTGCCCGCAGCCTCTGCAGCGCTGGTTCGATCCTGATCCCTGGCTGCTGGGTGAGGGTCCCACATGGCATGCAGACCTCTCCTGCTACCCACTGCTCCCTCAGCAGTATATTTTGTCAGTCTGCCTGTTCTGCTGTCCGCTCTGGCTCTGGTGAATTCTCTCACCCTCCCGCGCTTCTGACTGTACCCAGTGCTTGTATAAATAAATAAATAAATCTTTAAAAAAAAGGTTTTCAGAGACCTTCTTGAAGATGCTGCTTGGTTCTGATGCTTTCCCATTCTTCCAAATAGCATGCAAACTTGTCTTTTCTCTTGCTTTCTCTCTCTTAAAACAAATTTTGTTTCCTATCTTTTTTGCTCTCATTCTTTCTTTTCCTACTTTCTTTTTCCAGGAACTTCCATTTAAATTTCATCAAACTCTCTAAACTCTGCTTCACAATGGATCATTCCCTTCTTGTCCTCATTTCCCTCCTACCCCTCTGAGATTCCAACATTCATCACTCCAGTGGTTTTCACACTAGGTGCCCATTACATACAGGAAGACATTCCAAGGAAGGACTTGTGTAAAGATAGTCTTAAGGAAACCTTTGACCTTTTTAATGATTGCTTGTCTTAAATTGAGCTGCCTGAGAACTCACAGGCATGTATTTTCCAAGCATGTATGAGAAGCCAAAACCCTCACTGATCCCAAATTTTCCTGAGGTGTATCCCATTGGACTGTAAAGTCTTGAGCTGCCAAATAGAATAACAAATCAAAATATCAATTTTTGGTTTTGGATCTCCCTGGTGGCTTTAACTCCTTGGGGTTAAGTATTAGCACTATCACCTCAATGGCTGGAGTTTGATACCTAGCCAAGGAGCTAACCCACCTATGGTACAGCAGACCTCTCCTGTCTCGCCCACTACTTCCCCTTTAGCAGTGAATTTCAGTAGATCTGCTTCTTGTGTCCCTCAGTGTCTCTGGTGAATCATCTCACCACTGCCTATCCCCAGTTCTATGAAAAAAAAAAAAGACAAAAAATAATACTGATTTTGAAATAATTAAAACCCTTAAGATTTTTCAGGTATTCATGTCATCTGTGTATTTCATTTAAGGGGAAACATGGTCTTATGAACAGTATATTTGCCACATGTCATGTTCTGAATTCAGATATTGGATAGCATGGTGTAGTGTAGTGGGGTTAAAAACAATTTTGGTCAGTGAGTTTGCCTCTGATTTGTAGTCACTCTGGAGGGAGAATCCCACAAGAGGAAAGCAAAGGGAAAAAATGCAGAAAATGAAAACCAAGATTTAAAAATCCATTTAAATTTTTTACCCAAGCTATTCAAATTTCCTGTCCCTAGTGCTTTTTTAAGAATTAAAAATTTTAATTTGTAAAGATATTACAGAGTTCTAATATACCCCTATTATCTCATATTGCCCCTACCATTAACATCTTACATTATTATGGTATATTTTTCACAACCAGTAAGCCAATGACGATATTATATCATTAAGCCCATATTTTATTCAGGTTTTCTTAGCTTTTACCCAATATTATTTTTCTGTTCCAGGGTCCAATGTTATATTTAGTCATCATGTCTCCTTCGCCTTCTTTTAGCTATCAGTTTCTCCAACTTTCTTGGTTATGATGACCTTGAAAATTTTGAGTTGACTAGTGGGGGTATTTTATAGAATGCCTCTCAGTTGAGTTTTGTCTGATATTTTTCTCATGAGTAGAATGGAATTATAGATTTAGGGGAAGAAGAGTGTAGCAGTGAAGTATACTTTTATCACCTCCTATCCAAGATCCAGGATCCAAGATATCATATTGATGCATAGTCAACATGATTTACCACTGTCAATGCTAATGTTGTTCACCTTGCTGGGAGAATGTTTGTCAGGTTTCTCCACTGTGAGGTTAATCTTTTCCCTTTACTCTAAGATTGCTTATTAGCTGAAGTGAAAAGAACTTTGACCAACTTAAGTAAAACAGATTCATGGTATTGATACTTAGAAATATCACAGGGCCTCCCCCGGTGGCACAGCAGTTGAGCGCTGGTCTGTGAAGCTGCCTGCAGTTTCTGCAACGCCAGTTTGATCCCTGGCAACCGGTGAGGGTCCCACATGGCGCGCAGACCTCTCCTGCCGCCCGCTACTCCCCTCAGCAGTGTATTTTGTCGTTCTGCCTGTTTCTCTTCCCCACTCTGGCTCTGGTGAATTCTATCACCCTCCCGCACTTCTGACTGTACCCAGTGCTTGTATAAATAAATAAATAAATCTTTAAAAAAAAAAAGGAAATATCAGTACAAAGGTTTTTTCAAGACTCTGGATTAATAGAAAGTAACGGAAATAGAATAGAAAGTAAGAGAATTAGGTCATGCAACTGATGTAATTAAAATAACTAAAAAATATGCTTTTCCAAATTAAATATCATTTATTTATTAGTAAAAAGAATAATAAATACTTCTAATTTAAGTTAATATTAATATGATTTCACCTTATAAACTGTTTAATAATTTTTACTTCCTAATAACAACAACAACAACAAAACAAAATACTATAAATTGCCTGTAGGACTGGTCAGGTTTTAGTATATATTTTTCCCTTTAATACATTCTGGGAAAAGTTTGAAATTATATTGAAGACCACCATATCTAACAAAATTAATGAAGTAATATCTGATTTTGTATTAATTCTTCTTTAAACATTCCAAAAGGATGAAAACAAAGTGTAGGGTAAGGAAAAATGTCAGGTTTTTCTGCCCTCCCGCCATCAGGATAGATGATGGATCCTTGTCCTGAATGCATGCCTGATGGCGGGCACCTGGAGTAGGGTGTGGGCATAGGCAGATGGGATTCACCTGGGCTGAGACTGGGCTTTTAAGGGTGGTGTCACGGGGATGCCAGCAGAAGCCGAAAGAGAAGCAGAAGCAGAGATCACCGGAGAGCCCAGATAGAGTGAGGATTTGCTGGGGGCTGGAGGACTGCCAGCCTCCCGGCCCCCCAGCAGCCCTGCCTGCTGTGTACCGGGTAAATCCCAATAAAAGACCTGCAAAAAACCACTGAGGATTCTGAGTCCTCCTTCGCCCGGTCTGCTGGATATTAGAAAACCTGCCCCATGTCCTGTCCTGCCCTTACACAAAGCTAGATGCTTGCACATACATTCACTTACCAAACTAGCGTAGGGTAAATGTTTGTCAGGCATTTCTGCCCTCACGTCAACAGCATTGATGATGGATCCCTGTGGTTCTGAATGCATGCCTGATAGCGGGTGCCTGGAATAGAGTGTGGGCATATGTAGGTGGGTACACCCGGGCTGAGAGACTGTGTTTATAAGGGCGGGGTCTTGGGGATGCCAGCAGAGCGGGAGAGAACACCAGAACAAGAACAGCACCAGCAGAGAAGCAGAGGCCATGAGAGGACGCCAGAGAGCCCAGAAAGAGTGAAGATTCACCAGGGGCTGGGAGGCCTGCCAGCCTCCTGACACCCCTGCCTGCCATGTACCTGGTAAATCCCAATGAAGTCCTGCAAAAGCCACAGAGGGTTCCAGGACTCCTCCGTGAATCCGTCTGCACAGGATCATAGAAATCCTGCACTATGCCTTCCTGCCGCTGCAGTTGTCATATTCCTCATGTCATAAAAAACTGTTTTAGCTAGTCATTTAATTGCATTATTACAAAATATGTATTTTGTAATATGTATATTACAATATGTTATTATTGTCTTGTTTTTATTATAACTGACTGGAAATGATGAAATAATTCAATTGATTCCATGTAATTTATTTTAATCTTATCTGCAGAAACAAGTGATCTGGTTGACAAAATAATACTCTGATTTTTTTTCTCAGCATATTAATAAATCTTCAAAATATATATATATGTAAAACAATTTAAAAATGAACCAACCTCTAAGCAATTGGGTCTAATTTTGCTGGTTGACCTAACATTGATTATTGACTTTATCAGTTGGATTGCATGCAAGGCTTTTCATGATATTGCATGAGCTAAATCTATGCCTTAAAAGTACTGATGAAAATATATTAGAAACTCTTGTTATTAAAGGAGGGAAATCCAATGAAAGGTTTAGGGGCTCTCTCTCTGGGTTTTCTTTAAAACTGAATGTGAATCTACAATTACCTCAACATAAGAAGCTTGATTTAAGAAACATGATTAAATAGCATTTCATCACACACTATATCGACAAAAGTGTAATGAAATCAATAATATTCACTTTTGTGGATTTCTTCCTGAGTACATTGAATTAAACAATATGCCTTAAAGTGAAAGAATAGCAAGTATTATTTACTTTCAGATAAATCTCAGTAAAGCATTTTTGGTATAGTTCTTAGAAATTGAGAAGCCAAGTGATTCTAATAATCCAGTAACAAATCCTTTTGCAAGTTAAAAGTGTTCCTCTTCTTTGCTTTTAGTAAAATGAGTTATCAGTTGATATACTATTTACCTATTTCCTATCTTCATATGATACTTTTTGGCTTTCAACTCAGAAGTTGAAACAATTAGTTCAAGCAATTGAATGACATTGCTATAGAAGTTTTCCATATAGACGTTTTCCATTTTCTATCTACTTAGTTGTGAGCAAAAGGTTTCTTAGCACATAGGTATAATAGTGAAAAATGAAGAAATAATTGATGGCCTTTGTTTTCTATAACTTAGTCAAGAAATTAACATTCATGTATGAATGAAGTAATTCATTAAGAAAAAATGTCTTAATTTACAGTTTTAATAAAATGTTACTTGTTATATTTAATAGCTATTTGTCAAACTTAAATATATGTTCTGAAAAAAGTTTTAATATATAGAAATTATTTTAATCAATGTATATAATAATTATAATAGTAACTAATCTAGAAGTTTTAGTACTTAGAACCTTATGATTGCACAAAATATAAAAATTATATTAAATTTCACTTTATATCCATATGTTTGTTGCAGAGAAATGTGTGAAGGTGATAAATAAAAACTTGTGAGCACAAAAATATATTATAAAATTCAGTCGTTAAGGAGAGTAAATGGGCTGGAAGTATAAATTCAAATAGAAAAACAAGATAAAATTTCAATTTGAGCAGCACATATAAGTACATTCTTTAATAGGTAATGGTGGATACCAGATTGATATAGTGTTAAAGTGCATTGGTTATTGCTATAGACTGAATATTTGTGTCCTCTCAAAATTCATAAGCTGAAACCTAATTCCCAATTAAATGGCATCTGGAGGTAGGATCTTGTGAGGTGATTTGGTCTTGAGCCCAAGATTGCTCTCTCCTCTCCAACATGAGGACACAGTGGGAAGATGCAAAGTATGAACCAGGAAGTGGGATCTCATCAGAGGTCCAGTCTCCTAGTGCCTTGAACTTGGACTTCCTAACTTTCATAAGTGTATGAAATAATTTTCTGCTATTTATAAGTCACTAAGTCCATTTTATTGTGTTATGGATCCCTCAATGAACTAAGACAGTTTTTTAAAATGACATATCAAACCGTATTATGTCAAAAAGTCTTATCACATTTTAACTTATAATGAGAAAATTAGATATTACCTTAAACAATGAGTGGAGTGTATCTAGTTTTTCAAAACTATTTTTAGGGCATATGCAAACAAAGCCGTAGGTCATGTGATACTGAAATCAGAACCTTCCAGCCACCTTTAAGTCATATGTCCCTCTCCCCTATCATTGTGCTCATTAGGCATAAGTCCAACTCTGATTGAGCTCAACTGATTCTCTCCCTGCACTCAAGCAGCTTAATATTGCTGCTTGGTTTCACATTCACCATGCTGATTGTTTTCACATTCAATCCATGATTACAATATTCAAAAAGACACACCTCATTACCTAGCAATCCTACTACTCTGGCACATTCAAATTTTCACTTCTAAACAATTATTTTACATGTCTTTTCTTCCCTCAGTACTCCTATACCACTTCCTTCACTTCTTAAATGGTGGTTATACTTCCTTGAGAAAATGACTGAAATAAGAACATCCTCGTCTTCATCTGTACCCTTGCAATGTCTCCCTTCTTGTTACTGGGTATAAGTACAGCACTTCTTATGCTCTGGGTTCCCTCCTCTCTCAAATTTTTGAGGACATTGCCCTTGCAGTTATCTCTCTCACCTGTCACATCATCACTATCCTTTTGTATAACACCATTCCATAATAACCTCCTCTCATATGTCCTGCCTAAAAATAAAAACTCTTACCTTCTGTCCCTTATTTTATTCTCCCCATCTCTCTACTCTCCTTCATACTTAAACTTCTGAAGAGAGTTTTCTGTAGTTAATATTTTACTTCCTTTCTTTATATTCTCCAACTAATCCACTCCAAATAGAATTCCTTCACACCACACCATGGAGAATTAGTTCAATGATTTCCATAATGCCAAGTTCAAATGGTTTCCATAGTGCTCAAAACAATGACCACTTCTTTGTTCTTATCCAATGGACTGAATAATCACTCTTCCTACTAGAAGAGCTTATCTCAGTTTGATGCCCATGGTTCTATACTCTCCTAGTTTATCTCAGATTTCACTGATTACTCCTTAATTTCCTTTGCCTTTTTAATCTCATCTAGATCTCTAAATTTGCAGTTCTCTTTATCTTATAGTTCCTCTTTATTTATTATTACTTTCTTACTCAATAGATACCTCTTTTAGGTGTCTCATGAGTAAAATACCATATTTTATGCTAATGATTCTCTAATCTGTATGTTAACTTTATTTTTCCTCAGAAGGTCCTAATTGGCATCTTCACTTTATATCTAGTATCTGTAACATAGTCAACATAGAACTATGGATTTCTAGGCTCCCCCCTTACCCTCATATCTTTATTTTGTCTTGCATTCACAGTCTTAGCTAATGGAATGACCATCTACTGAGTTCTTAAATTATAATTGAGCAGTTATCCTTGATAACTCTTTTTCTTATTACTTACATTAATCTGCCGCGGACCAGCACAGCAGTGAACGATGAGGCCGTCTCAGGGTTGAGAGACTGCGCAGGGTGGTCAGGGATTCGGCTGAAGAAATGACAAACAGACACACTTCAAGAGAGAGTGTAAATCTGAGTGCGATTTTGAGTTAGTTGCCAGTATATATACAGGAGCAGTGAATGGATTTAGCTTATTGCTGAGTGGTTTACATCTGGACCTATCCTCTTTCTTAAGTAGATAATCCCTTAGTTTTGTTTTTAAGCTATATGATCGCATTTTTTGTTTTACTAGCTACTTTTTCACTTAAACTATATTTTAATTATTACAGGGTTTAGTAACGTTTCATTTGAGTCAGCCTTGTGTTAAGGATTTCATATGATTTTTTAATTAACAACAAATGACCTTTATGGAAGAAAGAAGGAAGTTTTAGAAAGACAATGAAGGGATAAAGTTTGTAGTTCTAGAAAGATGAGATAAGGTTTTAGCTCCTGGTGGTCGTAATCCTTTGATAGGCTTCTGTCTTATCCATGTCTTCAGGGAACATTGATGTACTCCCCTGCTTTAGGGAGTTTTGCTGTTCTCCCCCTGCGCTGGTTCCTTGCCCAGCCGGACCTAGGGACCTTGGCGAAAGCCATTAGCCCTAAAGGTCACTGCAGGGGGAGGTGCAGCATTAATCCATCCAAAAAATTCTATCTTCTACAACTTCAAAATGTATTTATATTAATTCTTTTGATGTTCTGAGAGTTGCTTTGTGACCTAATAACTGGCCAACTTTTGAAAATATTTCATAGATACTTAAAAATGTATTTTTAATTGCTGGGATCCATGAGATCAAACTGGCAAATTGTATTTTCAAACAAAAATTTCTATACTTACAATTTCTGTTTTGGCCTTGATCAATTTTTGAGAGAGGATTTTTAAAATTCTCTATTATAATGGTGCATTATTTTGTTCAGTGCAGCCCCAGAGGGAAACAAGGTGACTTGTGTGTTCTTAGGAACTCAGGACAAGACTCAAAAGCAGGCATGCAGAGAAAAATTGTCAAAAAGGTTTTATTTATAAGGGGAATGAGCAAAAAGAGAACAGAAAAATGGAGAAGATTAATTGGTCAACAGTAATGCTGTCTGAGCTGAGACACCAGGGTGCAAGTCAAAAGTCAGAAAAAACAAGAGAGCTGAGATCACATGTGTTAAATTATATACCAAGCATGACTGCTTAACTCCACCCCTAGTTCCCTGTGGATCCTGGTTCAAGAAATTAGATTCATGACATACTGGGAGTTGTAATCCCAGGCACCTGAGATCTCTTGAGCATGGAGATGGGTGGAGTCTATTAAAATGTGATGGAGGTGCAATATCATTCATAGGCTCAGAGTTTGCTCCTTATTGTTCCTCCAATAATTTCAGCTTTTGATTGTATGAGACCTCACTGTTAGATACATAAAAATTGAGAATTCACTATCATTTGGTGAATTTTGACTTTTTATCATTTTATAGTATCTTTTTTTAAATCTCTAATAATTTTGCCTTAAAAAGTTTTTTCCCTGATTCTAACATATCTATATCAAGACTGGGTTAAAACAATCAGAGATTTATCTACCCTATGTTTTAGGAAATTCTCTTTTAACACCTCTTATCTACTGGGCAGTCTTTGCCTTTCAATTGGAGAGTTCAGTGCACTTACATTTAACATGATCACTGATACATTTGGAATTATTTCTGTCATTTTGTGCATGCATATGTGTTTAATGTTACTTGTTTTTTTTTTTTCTTTCTTGAATTCATTATAAATTAGTTGTTTAATAGAAAAATTTTCTCCAATACTATTTGGAAAGTATATTTTCAATTTTTTTTCTCTCAGAACTAACTACTAAAATTTTCAATTGCATATTTGACTGAAGGTCTAAAAATTACAGTAGCCCTACTCTTCTGATTATCTTAGATGACTTGAGCTTTAATTACTACCATATATATAAATTTTTCTTATTTTAAATTTATTTTTATTTTTAACATTTTGTTTAAATATTTCTTTATCATTCTGTGCAACATTTTTTGGTTTGTTTTATTCACATTTATTGATTTCTTTGCTCATATTCTTCTAGCACAGTTTTTCTTTTTAGAACCATTTTTAAATTTATGAGTATATAGGTTACATTGCATTTGTCAAAAAGAGTTTTAAAGTTCAACTTCCTAGTACCTGAAAATGTGACTTTATTTGGAAATATGTTTTCTTGAAGATTTAATTTATTTTTAAGTTAAGGTGAGATCATATTGGAGTAGGATAGGCCTTTAATTCAATATGTGTGGTGTCTGTATAAGAGGAGACACAGAGAAAGACAGAGGGAGAAGGTCATGTGAAGGTGAAGGAAGAGATTAATGTGTATACAAGTCAAGGACTGAAAGAATTGCTGGCAAAGGGAGTATGGTACAGGCATAAAAGCAGACACAAAGACCAATGGAACACAATAGAAATTCCAGAAATAAATCCATGAATATACATTTATCTAATCTTTGATAAGGGTGCCAAGTACAAATATGTGAGAAAGAATAGCCTTTTTAAAAATGGTACTGAAAACTGAATATCCATACTCAAAATAATGAAACTGGGTTCTGATCTTACATCATTGTAAAAATTCACTCAAAATGAATTAATCACTTAAATGTAATACCTGAAACTACAAAACTCCTAGAATAAAACATAGTGACAAGGCTTCTTGACATTTGTGTTGGCAATGATATTTTTGGAGATGATACCAGAGCACAGGAAATACAGGTAAAATAGAAAATAGACAAGTTAGGACTATATCAAACTGAAAATTGCTTATATTATACACTATATGTAAGCACCTATACACATTTTTAATTTCCAACTGTACTCTAATAAATCATAAATCTAAGAGGAAAAATAAAGTTCAAAAAAGAAGGAATAAAAAAGAAGGAATAAATAGAATAAATAAATAGAAGTACAACAATTTAAATTAACACCTTAAAATATTATATGGCCTTTCTTCTGGTCCTGATCAGCAGTCAGTGGTATTGATTGGAAGAGGATAAAAGGGAGAGAGGAAAAAAAGTTTCTGATTCCTAAAAGAAACAATCTTTCAGAATTTCACTAGGGTAATTTGGGTAAATCTGTGCAAATTGAAGAACATTAATGTAATACAGATGTGGTCAAGCTTATTTTGTAAATGGCCAATAGTGGCTATTTTTAACTTTAGGTTGTATGCTATACAGTTTCTGTGACAACTCGTCAGCCATAGATCAGATGTGAACAAATAAGCCTCACTGAATTCCAATAAAACATACGAGATGAAGACTGGATCAAGATGGCATAAAAGGAATTTCCTTGCTTGCTTCCAGGAAGATAATTTGAGTGTCACTAGAAAAGGACTAAATCTGAAGAGTCCCATGGCTTGGAGTGAAGATGAAACACCTCTTGAACACAGTAGACCAGCATAGACCACAACAGAAGGGACCTTGAGGAGATTCATGCTTCATAAAATAAGAGGTCGAGGTCGAGAAATGCCTGGTGGCTGCCATACAAACCTTGGGCAGGGGAAAGCTGAACGTTAGAAAGGCACACATCCTTCACTGAAAGGAGATACATGCAGAAGAGCTAAGGTGCTCCCAGTAAGATGGATCCACTGAAAAGAACAGTGTGCTGGGCTGCGTTTCCCCTCCCCAACATCTCAGGACTAAAACTGACCTTGTGAAACACAGTCAGCATGCAGATTGCTGAGACTTGGAACTGGAACCCCAGAGAGGAGGGATATTAGTGATGTCACAAGGGCAAGCAGACCCCCATCCTAATTCCGCCAGTGACAGGACCTTCCCCCACATCTTGACTCCAAAGCTGCAAGATCAGATCTCCAGACATGAAAGCCCAAAAGGCTAAATATCTAAAATTATATAGAGCTTGGAAAAGCTAAAAAAAAAAATTAAAAATAAAAACCTCCCAAAGACCAAAAAACAAACTACAGTGTCATCTACCAGAAAAGTGTAAGTACTGCAAATCTCTAAGATACTGATACAAATAACTTCAAAACAGGGAAATTTAAAGCAGCAAAATGGGCAGACAACAGTACAACACAGGGCACATTGAACACTCAAAGTATTACATCGCAAGGAGAGAATCTCTTTCCAGATCTAACTATAAAGATATGGAAGATTTTTTCTTCCTATCAAGATACAGATTTTAAAATTAACATGATTAAGAAATTCAAAGAAATGAAAAATGCAGGAAAGCTTGTCAAAGAGATCCATGAAAACTCAGAAAAAACAAATGAAGCTTTAAATAACAACATAACAGAGATTCAGAAAATAAAAGATCAAAAGAGGAGAAGGGCAAGCAGACCCCCATCCCGAAAGTTATGGAAGCAGACAAGAACAAACAGAAGATTGAATCGGTGACCTCAAAGGTGGGAATGAAGAGAGACCTAAGTGAAAGAAGAAAGAGAAATATGAAAAAAAGTTGATGAAAAACATAGAGAATTATCTGCCTACATTAGGGAGGCAAAGTCATTTTCTCCAGCAGCAGTGGTGGCTGACATGGTCCTTGACAGACATGACTTCTGCGATGAGTTGGCTTCACAATTTGCTGACAATTGTTAGTTGTGGACAGCGCAGCACCTGTGACATTGACAGCTGTTTCTTGAGAGGTAGCAAAGCCAATTTCATAATCTCCAGATTATAGTTGCAATGTTGTATATAAAAACCAAGTAGCCATAACATTCATTCCTCTAGTCTTTTCAGTGATTTGTAGACCTCTAATTCCTTGCACTAAATAACTTATGTACTTGATGTACTTTGTGTGGTTTCTGCTCCCTTAATTTGAATCCTAACTGACATAGGTCTTATTTTGTTCCAGTTCTTGTTTTGCTTGGTCTTTTCTTACATTACCTTAGTTAAGTCTTATTTGAAAGTCTTTTTATTTAAAGATTTATATATTTATGCATACAAGAGCTGGGGTACAGGCCAGAGATGCAGGGGGTTAAGAGGATCCACCAGAGACAGAGTAGGGAACAGAACAGGCAGATTGACTGAAACACACTGCTGAGGGGGAGCAGCGGGTGAGACAGGAGAGGTTCTGCCTCGCCTTATTTGAAAGTCTTAAGAAAGATTATCTTCAGTTTAAAGAGAAGGAAGGTGAATGTTAATAAGTCAATATGATTTGTCCACTACTAAGAGGAAGAGCCAAAGAAAAACTAATCAGCCAAAGCTTATAAATATATTCTTCAACTCAGCTACATCTAAAATATCAAACATACTCCAACAATCTGTAAACCTAAAATCTTCACAGATTCTTTCCTTTCCTCTCTCATCTCTTCAACTAAGCCTATTGATATTCTCTATGAGATGTCTTTACATCCAGCCCTTTTTTAATCCACTCCCCTGCCTTGGTTTGGTCCTTTGACATTTTATTTTTTTGCTTGGATTATTGTAGTTTAGTTTCCTCCATATTTATCTCACTTAGTCCATCTTTCATGCTCTTGTGTAGAATTAGATTTTTAAAACAAAACTGATGTTACCCCGAAGCCTAATATTTTCAGTGGCTCTTAATGCCATTGGTGATGTCCAAACCTCTCAGCCAGTGAGACTAGCCTGTCTTGTTCTGGCCTCTGCCTGCCATTTCTGCCTTCTCTGCAGCACATCTGCCCTCTCTGGCCCCTGCATCTCACTGCATTCTCCTCATCTGTCTACCCCGTAACAGTAGGGCAAGGACAACGTCTTCTTTATCTTTATACTCACTTTTGAGCATATCATGCCCAGCACTTATAGGGACCCAGTGAATATTTACTGAAATGTTGTATGAAGAACAGAATACCATTGGTTGAAACCCAAAAATCTGTCAGCTTTTTATCAAATATTCTAGGGAGAGAATAAAAGAAAATTTTTTACAGGATAGAAACTATAATGAGTTCATTAAAAAAGTTATCCTAATCTAGTCCACCAAAGCTAGTTCTATTTAACTTCTTTGGCAAGCACTCTTCTTTCTGCATTTTAAAGCTTATTTTTTCTTTTATATAACTGTTGACCTATAAACTACTATAAATATTTAAGAAAATTGCAATGAAACAGTATAGGTTGCAGATTGTTCTCTGACCATATCTCTTCTTGCTAAATCAGTCTTCCAGATGTTGTATCTATCTTTTACTTCTTTTTCCCCCTTGTGCAGCAGTAAGGAAAATGAAATTATTTCTTGTGCTACAAAGCACATGCCAATAATATATATTCTCTATCAGAATAAATGTCATCCCTCCCTTCCTTAACCTTGGATAACAGAGTACTATAAGAAGTTCTAGTATTTGTGTTAAAAATAATGGGTAGGGTGTTTGAAAGTAGGGAAGGTTTGAAATAGTACTTAAAATTACATAGATGTATGGTATAGAGAAACCACGAGTTCAAGTCACAAAGATATTTCTCACCAGGGTTTTGTTTTTTTTTTAAGATTTATTTATTTATTTATACAAGAACTGGGGTACAGGCCAGATGCGTGGGAGGGTGAGAGGATTCACCAGAGATAGAGAAGGGAACAGAACAAGCTGACTGACGAAATACACTGCTGAGGGGAGCAGCGGGCGCGACAGAAGAGGTCTGCCGCGCCATGTGGTATCCTCACCAGCTGACTAGGATCGAACCGACACTGCAGAGGCTGTGGACAGCTTCACAGGGCTGCGCTCTACCGCCTGCGCCACCAGGGGAGGCCTGATTGTTGTTTTTTGAGCACGGATCCTGGAGTCAGGTGCAAGTTAACTTCTCCAAGCTCTACTTTTTCCCTCTGCATAGTGATAGCACCTGACTGTGTGTGTTGTTGTGAAGATTAATGATGATAATGGAAATAAAGTGGTCAGCACAGTATTGACAAAGAGGTCAATTAATGTTTGCTGTCATTATTTTTACTATGTGCTTGTTTCTAATAACATTGAGTTTGATGATGATAAAAAAGATCCCCAACAGGAGTGACTTCAATAGAAGCTTTTTTCTCTTTCATATAGAGACCCCCTAATAGAAAGTCCAAACCTGGTCCTCAGAGACCCAAACTCTTTCTAGGTCACTACTCCATCATTCCTAAGGTGTACCCTTCATTGTCATGATCCAAGATGGTGTCAGGAGCTCCAGGGCTGTTCTTGGCGGCAGGATATAGAGGAAGAGATGAAGAAAAAAGGGCAAATGATGGTATGTTCTACTAGCTTTTTAAAAGAAGTATCTCAGGAGCTGTCTGAGACATTTTTGTCCATGTTAGATGAAGGACATGGCTTCATGATCATACAATTCCATTTCAAACTTAATTTTTAAAGCTTCACAAGAGTTATATCCTATAGTCTACCATAGTTCACTATGATAAAGGAATCCTTTTTCTGTTATATTTCTACAATACTGATTAACTAAAACATAAAACAGTATTACTAAATTAAATCTAGTGTTTTGTATCAGGGTATCTTTGACACATTGTTCTTTCAGTGATTTAGATGTACCTGCATTGTTCAGGTTTTAAATTCTGCCCTTCAAAATAGGATTTTCCTTCCGTTTTGCAAGTCAGTGTCAAATTAGACCAAAGAACAAGTTTACATTGTTGGTTGATTGTATTACAAATGCTTCCATCAAGAGTGCTCTAGGGAAGATGTGGCCAGAAAAGGAGTGTGACAAAAAAACAAGGTGATGTGGCAGAAAGATTAGTTTTGCTCCAGAATTAACATGAAAATAGATGCAATGTGACGCAGAATAAAACAATGGTAGAAAAAAACTAAACCCACTGAAGTGACAGTAACTTAAGGTCCTATCCCATGCCAGGTATGTACAAGTGGCATAAATTACTGCCATTGTGAAGTCTGAAATGTGGTTTCTGTTCTCCCCTTCACAGTTACTTTGACTATTACTTTGCAGCTATTTATTAAGATGAGCGGTAGGATCACTGGATATAAAGCAATAATTAGATTGTCATATCTCTTGGTCTATGATATGTTATTCTGCAACTGATAGAATTGGTACATCTAGGGACATCTTATTCACTATTTCTAACTATCATAATAAAACTTCTGTTGACTTTATTTCTATATTCTAGTGCTACTGCCTTCTTTGCTATCTCTAGATCACAGTCTTGCAATATTTGTTATATTTGGGACCCAAATACAAATTCATTAACAGTGTAATTGGGCTAATTTGGGGAAGCAAATATATAAGCCCTAGTAGTAATAAGGATTCAGGAACACAAAATAATCCAAAAAGGAGAGAATTACATTCTTTTAATTTTTTGGTCTAATAGACCCACTTTACTATTTTCATAATTTTAAGTGAAAAGTAAGATTAAAGGGATAGAGGAAAACATAAGGAAAAGTTATGTAGTGGCTATGATGTATGCTCATCTTTACTTGATCTTAGACAAAAGCTGAGAAGTGATGATATGATCACAATGCATTTAAAGTATTGTTGAATTCAGTTTGCTAAGATATTGTTGAGCATTTTTGCATCTACGTTCATCACAGATATTGGTCTACAGTTTTCTTTTTTGTGTGATGTACTTGTCTGCTTTTGTTATTAATGTTTGTCTCATAGAATGTGTTTGGAAGTGTTCTCTCTTAATTTTTG